CCTTGCTGCGCTTCATCAACCGAGCCGAAGAGTTACAAGCAGCTGCCACAGCACTCTCACGGAGGGTGTCAGGGGAGAAGTTGAATTTGAAGGGATACTCGAAGTCGTACTTCTGAGCCGAGCCAGGAGCCTCCCCTCAAGACGTCAAAACGATGGGGGCTGGAGGAGACCTTGACGAAGCCTCGTTGGATCTGCGCATTTTTTGGGCTGTGGCAGACCCCTTATGCTGAGACCCCAAGGGAGCTTATGCCAAAGTCTGCAAGGGCTCAGCTCGCAGGGGCATCAATGATCCAGCCGAATTGCGTGTGCCCTACTTCGAAGTCCCCAGAGTCCTGGGCTTCTTCTCGGCGTGATGCGTGGTCGGAGTCTCCCGGCGCACTTCCTGCTCAACGAGTTGAAGAACTTGGATACCATCTTGTCTAGTCTGGAGGCTTGGTTCGGATCGAGATAGGAAAGGCCGCAGTGATGCAGGTTCACCTCGTCCAAGAGTCCTTCGTACCAGATTTTCCCGAAGCACTCCACGTGCTCCTTAACCTCTACGGAAGTTTGGCTGAGTCGAGGTACGGGGCGAGGGACAGTTACATTAAACAAGAAAACAAGTTAGCTCGGGTCAAAAGGAAGTAGGGAGAGATCTAAAAAACTCCTATCCTAAGACCAAGCCTAATTCCCAGAACTCGCAAGGAACCTGGCAAAAGGGCTCTCCTTCCTTAGTAACGAGCCACTAACCCGAGACGAGGAACTACTTCTCTCGTCAGTGTTTATTGGTCGAGGGGGATTCCACGATTTTACAAAAGAAATTCTGAGCTGATATATAGTACCGACCCGGATGCTCCTTGTATGGCTTTATTACATGGGTGGCGAAGAACTGACCTACGGTGAGAAGACGATTTTCATCGCCCGAGCTAAAGCTCCACTAGGTAAACCACAGTCCAAAGAGAGTGGTCCCCCCTGTTGGGTGCCAACTGAGCCAGGACCAGGTTGGTGGCAGAAAGAAATCACTGGATGAAGGGGTGGAGAGGCAACCGAACCCCACGATAAAACATCTGAGGTTAGAAGCTGACACACCCAGGGGGATGGTTATCTAGACTCTCATCTAGCTAAGGCAACCTCATCAGGACGTTACCGGGTATCTGGTATTCTTCCTTAAATTTAACCAGGTCGAACTTTTTACAGACCGAAGGAGAAGGTTCAGGGACTAAGGTAGGCCTACCGAAGTGGAAGCTTCGTTTGGGTTTGGCTCAGCGGTCCTAATAATGTTGGTTGTGTTAAGTTCCAGGTCACTAACGTTAGGATTAAACTGATCTAGGATCAGTTCGGCCCTGTAATGGTCAAGGTCTATGCTAGAGACCGAAGCACTGTCTCCGCGACCAGTGCAGGCTCGGATAATACGCTCCCCAGACTCAGAAGAAGACGCCATATAACAGAGTAAAAGGAAAGTGTTGATAAAAAACTTGATGACTGACCTAAGGCAAACTCTGAACCGAGGTGATCTAAAGGTTGAGAGAGTCTTAAGGGAATTTCAAAGTAAAAGTAGAAGAAATGAGAAATTCAAAGCTATCTATTTATAGGAAAGGGAAAGCTGATCACAACCATTCGTGTGGTTTGAATTCAACGGCCAAGATCTAGTCCCGCCAAAATAATGGCTAGTAGGTGACGTCATCATACGTCAGCCTTACCGATGAACTCGCCTGATCTTCATGGCGATTAGGCAAATCAGCACCTTACCTCTACCTCGACACTGATCTAAGCCGATGTCGCGTCATAGTTTAGTAGGGGCCATGTTGGAGGTACATCTTAGCATAAACGTCACAAGCATTGGTTGAATGCGAAGCATGACACGTGGCTCGCGTCGGTTGTGTTTATACCTCGGCTCATCCTTTCGGTCGAGCCGAAGCCATCGGTGGCCGAGCCAAACAAGTTTCCTCTGACTTACGTTCTTGCGAGAGTGCATTACTCAATTGGCATACCTCGGCTCGATCACGCCTCCGACATACTCCACTACAGTACGTCGCATTTCACGGTAATCTTAAAGAGCCGTTGAGGCCATGTCGGGAACGCTGTCGGAGATTCCGCTTATAAATAGGATCATTTTCCTCGTTTGAAGGTACACGAACATTCTGATTCTCTCTCGATTTAGCTCGGACTCACTACAAGAAATATAGGTTTTTATAGCTTTTGGAGATAGCATTTTAGAAAATAGGCTATAGAAAAAAAAAAGGCTGAAAAGCTGGGTAAGTTAAAATTTTGCCGCCTGCTCTAAAATTTGGGAAATCACGCGTGAGAAAAAGGAGTCACCTAAAATTGTGAAAACCCTCACATATCTTCAGAAACTCTACTTCTTCACACAAAGATTTCTTTGCAACCACCTCAAGTTTGACGCTCCATTCGCCGCTCATTCGTCACTACGTTCGCCTCTCCGTTCGCTACTACATTCGTTGTTTCTTTCGCTGCTCCATTTGCCACTCGTTCGTTGCTTCGTTCTCTCTCTTGTGCAAATCATCTTCCCAATCGTCTTCATCATTGCTTCCGGCTTCATCTTACACTCGTGGCTGCTGCAAATCGTATTTTCCAACCTTTGGTTTCGTACGCTCTGGCGGGGCAC